TTGCGCAACTGTTGAGCGCGCTCTCGGACAACCTCGGTCTCTCTTGCGCAACTGTTGAGCGTGCTCTCGGACACACTCGGTCTCTCTTGCGCAACTGTTGAGCGCGCTCTCGGACACACTCGGTCTCTCTTGCGCAACTGTTGAGCGCGCTCTCGGACACACTCGGTCTCGCTTGCGCAACTGTTGAGCGCGCTCTCGGACACACTCGGTCTCTCTCGCGCATTGTTGCAGTGTTGAGCGCACTCGCGGCGTTCGCTTCGCTTTTGTCCACTCCGGCGCCTCATAAACACACACACACACACCAGAGAAAAAACTTTGCAGGTCCTATGGCGGAGAGAGAGCCTACTCGGATGAAAACCGCTTCAGTAAGTTCAATTATAGTAACGCCACATTATTTTGTCAGTAACGGTAACTGCGTTGTAACGGGGGAAACAGTAATTCGTTTGATTACTCGTTACTGAAAAAGATAACGCCGTTATTCCCATCACTGCATAACTATGTTTTCACATGGTTCTACAGTAGCCCTAAACGGACAGGCGCGTTTCGTCACTATATTATTCTTCGTGCAAAGAAGCAAGCGAATAAAACACTGACACAATGACGAACAAGTAACAATAATATTCGCAATAACATCGTTTTACTGAATAATTAAGTAAACATAATTTCTTACTTTATCTTCGTAAAGAAACCTCATTGCTTAACTGGCTACTCTTCTAACTATTCTTTCTTTCTAACTATTCTTTCTTTCTTTCTAACTTTTCTTTCTTTCTAACTAATCTTTATTTCTTTTTTCTTTCTAACTTTACTTTCTTTCTAACTAATATTTCTTTCTTTTTTCTTTCTAACTATTCTTTCTTTCTAAATATTCGTTTGTTCTTTCTTTCTAAATATTCGTTTGTTCTTTCTTTTCTTTCTTTCTAACTTTTCTTTCTTTCTACACAATCTTTCTTTATTTTTTCTTTCTAACTAATCTTTTTCTTTCTAACTATTCTTTCTTTCTAACTTTTCTTTCCTTCTAAGTACTTTATTTTTCTTTCCAACTAATCTTTCTTTCCTTTTTTTCTTTCTTTCTAACTAATCTTCTTTCTTTCTTTCTTTCTAACTATTCTTTCTTCCTTACTAATTATTCTTTCTTTCTCTCTAACTATTCTTTCTTTCTTTCTAACTATTCTTTCTTTCTTTCTTTTTTTCTACCTAATATTTCTTTCTTTCTTTCTTACTAATATTTCTTTTTTCTTTCTAACCATTCTTTCTTTCTTACTATTCTTTCTTTCTTTTTTCTTTCTAACTAATATTTCTTTCTTTCTAACTATTCTTTCTTTCTTTCTTTCTAACTAATCTTCTTTCTTTCTTTCTAACTTTTCTTTCTTTCTAACTAATATTTCTTTCTTTCTAACTATTCCTTCTTTTTTACGTTTCTTTCTTTCTTACTTTTCTTTCTTTCTAACTAACCTTTCTTTCTTTTTTCTGTCTAACTAATCTTCTTTCTTTCTAACTATTCTTTCTTCTAACTATTCTTTCTTTCTAAATATTCTTTCTTTCTTACTTTTCTTTCTTTCTAACTTTTCTTTCTGTCTAACTAATCTTTCTTTATTTTTTCTTTCTAACCAACTAATCTTTCTTTCTTTCTTTCTTTCTTTCTTTCTTTCTTTCTTTCTTTCTTTCTTTCTTTCTTTCTTTCTTTCTTTCTTTCTTTCTTTCTAACTATTCTTTCTTTCTTTCGAACTTTTCTTTCTTTCTAAGTACTTTCTAACTAATCTTTCTTTCTTTCTTTCTTTCTTTCTTTCTTTCTTTCTTTCTTTCTTTCTTTCTTTCTTTCTTTCTTTCTTTCTAACTATTCTTTCTTTCTTTCGAACTTTTCTTTCTTTCTAAGTACTTTCTAACTAATCTTCTTTCTTTCTTTTTTAACTAGTCTTTCTTTCTAACTATTCTTTCTTTATTTCTAACTTTTCTTTTTCTTTTATCATTCTAACTATTCTTTCTTTCTTTCTTTCTAACTTTTCTTTTATCTTTCTAACTATTCTTTCTTTCTTTCTAACTTTTCTTTCTTTCTAACTTTTCTTTCTTTCTAACTAATCTTTCTTTCTTTCTAAATAATCTTTCTTTTGTTTTTCTATTTCTTTCTAACTAATCTTTCTGTCTTTTTCTCTTTCTTACTAATCTTTCTTTCTTTCTTCCTAACTAATGTTTCTTTCTACCAAATATTTTTAAATTAAATGTAATCTTTCTTTCTTTCATCCTAATCTTTCTTTCTTTCTTTCCATTTACTCTCTTTGTTTCTAACTATTCTTTCTTTCTTTCTAACTATTTTTTCTTTCTTTCAACTATTCGTTCGTTCTTTTTCCTTTCTAACTAACTAATTTTCTTTCTTTCTAACTATTTTTTTTCTTTCAACTTTTCGTTCTTTCTTTCTAACTTTTCTTTCTTTCTTTTTTACTAATCTTTCTTTCTTACTTTCTTTATTTCTAACTAATCTTTCTTTCTTTCTACCTAATCTTTCTTTCCTTCTTTCTTTCTTTCTTTCTTTCTTTCTTTCTTTCTTTCTTTCTTTCTTTCTTTCTTTCTTTCTTTCTAACTAATCTATCTATCTATCTATCTTTCTTTCTAACTAATCTATCTCTCTTTCTTCCTTTCTTTCTAACTAATCTTTCTTTCTTACTAATATTTCTTTCTTTCTTTCTTTCTTTCTTTCTTTCTTTCTTTCTTTCTTTCTTTCTTTCTTTCTTTCTTTCTTTCTTTCTTTCTTTCTTTCTTTCTTTCTACCTAATCTTTTTGCAAGTACAAAGAAAAACAGAGACAAACAACCTGGACACCTGGTTTCCATCCAAGTCCATCCCAGTATTGACCAATATCCTCTATGCAAAAAAAAAAAAAAAAAAAAAAACACGCATGGAAGAACCACCACCTCAATGCACATTCCCCTTCACTTTATACCTACAACACTCTTTTCTTTCTTTTCTTTTTAACACACAAGACAAGATACAATAGACAAGACAACTATTCTTTCTTTCTAACTAATCCATCTATCAAACTACTTTACAGTTTTTCTCAATTGCTAAAACACTAAAACCCATTGGCTGAACAAAGTTCTCAGTTGCCTGAACTCATTTAGCTAATTGTGCAGTCTGTTGTCAATACCTTAAACTATTTCACATGGCAAAACACAATTTGCAGATCTTACTTAGACTTTTTAGCAAAACGCTAAACACATTCTCATTCTCAAAACATATTCTGCACTGTAATGCACACATCATCCATACTGGTAAACACAAGTGGCAATGATCAAATACAAATAGAGAACAAATGTCATTGATTGAACACAACCACTCAAAATTGATTTAACCTGTTTCAAATGATGCCCAAAGACAAGAAGAAGCACACTGATCACGTTTACTCCTTTGATTTTTGTCCCTTTTAGTATTGTATACTGTAGTACAGTGCATTGTAGGCTGTATACTGTACAATGAACAAATTATATGGCCCCGAACATCGTTACTGTAACAGTACCATTTGTTACAGTACTGAATGCTCAATAGATTTTACTGGTTGCACTTGCAGGTTCATATCAACAAAGAACAAGCATTACAGTATCAAACAATAGAACTGACAAATGAGACGTTTGTGAGATGCAGGGCACTGTACTGTAAAAATAGGGGTACAAGGAGGAAGAACAAATAAAATTGCAAAGAGCAAAGCAGAGTAGTAATTTCTGATCAATTTTGCGCTACTATGATGTTTTCATTCATCAAAAGACAATGACGGACAAATATGAAATTTGTTTTAAGATTAAAAATGTACTTCTCCCTGAAATTTTGATGGTACAGTAATGTGTCACGGGTAAGTCTACAAACAGAATAGCCGTCAGTAGATATCTTTCGAGAACTGTATGTTTTGAACAATGTGTTTTCTATTTTTTGGTGTATTGTTTACTGACTGCTTGATAGTGTATATCATTTTGATCACTTTGTCTATGATTTGAGAGCAGTGTTTGATTTTGAACACAAGTAAAACTGTTTTGAGGCGAAAGTTTCATTTTGCAAGAAGAGTCAGAGGTTTTGTAAATAGTGCTTGAAGATGAGGTTTTGTGTTTAATGTTTTCAGAAAAAGGAGCAAGGATTCAGAAATTGTGTTTTAGCAATTGAGAAAAACTGTAAACTTCTTCAAACTCTCTGGTCCGGCTTTCTCAAGCCAACTTAAAGTTTGTCTCATCAAACTTTTTATCTAGTTTTATTTATGAACATTAGGGAAGCTCTAATTAAGTATTACCAAAAAAAAAAAAAAAAAAAAGATAGGAACATGCGTACAACGATTAAAAGCAAATCAGCTCTCTTTGTAATCTTTGCCTTTTCACCGCCTCAGAGTTTCTCAAATGATGCTTTACAGCACAGCATGAATATAAGCAGCGAGTGGGGAAGTTCAAAGTGAAGTGCCATGAACACACGAACACACACACACACACACACACACACACACACACACACACACACACACACACACACACACACACACACACACACACACACACACACACACACACACACACACACACACACACACACACACACACACACACACACACACACACACACACACACACAAACTCTACCTCCCATTCAAAGGTCCTTATCACATGGAGACAGTCAGTCGTAATGATCAGCCCATTCTGGCCCAAATTCTCAAGCTCTAACAGACAAAATACAGCAGACAAAATAATAAACACAGGATAAAGCACTTCAAAGCCACGGGCGACGAGTTAAAGGACAACGCAAAATATTGTAGGTCAGCTTCTGGGTGCAACACCACCCTTGGGTCAACATTTCTGCCAACTAATAAATGCCAAAAGTTGATCTGTGTAAAGTATAGTCTACTTAATCCTGAACACACGGTTCCATCCGTGTTTATCCCAATTGAAGATGGCTTCAAATCAGCACACACTGTTCCACACACCCATTGGAGAGAAAATACAGAATGGAACATTTCTGCAGTGCATTTATACTCACACATGACCGTGAGCAAAACGTTCCCTGATGCCAGGACGACCTTCTCCCGTGTTGCTCGGTCATAGATTCCTACATGGCATTCATAAGGTCCATTGTCTGAGATCCGGACCTCTGGGAGCCTATGAAAAAAGATAAAAATGTCTTTACTGTAAGACATTTTCAGTGACTCAAAGACTGAATATGATTTGTGTGTGTGTGCCAAGGTCCCATAATAGATCTACTCAGAAAAAAATTATTCCACCAATCATTATAAAGAATCAGCAAGTAACACATTGAATAAAAGTAAAAACAATTAAGTACAATGACAAAAATAGCATTTTCTTGTAAAACATACTCCAATAAACTTTTTTACAGTGTAAAGACATTGAAGCTAGATTTTAACATTTTTATAGCAAATCCGAGCAGTGTTTCCCCATGTAAAATTCCATATCATTATGCTAGGGTGTTCTAAATGGTTATCACATTGTTATATGTTTGCCAAGCAGTTATTTAGTTATTAGTCCTGCCCTCAAGACTGTGATATTATGGGCTCTATATATGGTTTTGGTTCTACCCTCAAATTATACTACAGTCCTTTTTGGAACAAATGGAAATCCATTTGTTTGGAAAAGTAATATCACATCTCTACATGACTCCAAAGGAAATGATAAAGTATACAAAATAAGTGTCTATTATAATACAGACTTCTCCAAAGAGTCGAAGGCTTTATTCTTTATTCTGAACACGGACTACAATGCAAATCAAAGTGAGATCTTCAGCTGCAGGTAGCAGATCAAAATTGAGGAAAAATTGTTCTTCCTGGCCCCCCGTAGAAGACGAGAGACTGCGGTAAAGCTGAAGAAACTGGGTGTGCTGTCATACTAATGTGTCAGACGAAGGAAAAGAGTTGCCTGTCTGCTGGCTCAACAAATTCATATAATGCCTCACTCCATCCATCCATTTATGTTATCCCTGGAGCCCACAGAGAGGGGTAGACTGCTGACAATGGCTGATAGAGATACACAGATGCTCGACCCTGTGGTCCATTTTTGTAGCTTTCACCTATTTCATTCTGTTCCTCTCTTTATCTTTGTATCTTTCTCTCTCAGGGCCCCAAATAAAACAAATAGGAGACTAACTGTACTGGCTGGGTAAAAATGGCTGTTGCTGAAAACCATACAAATAGATTAGAAAATGTATATATTATAAATTTAAACCATGCAGGCGCATTCATTTTAAAAGTAAAATTGCATCAGACATTGTTTTCTTAAACTTATACCCAATTGGCAAAGAGTTTATTTTTCAAATAGTGTGATGTTTTAAGGTAATTTTATTTATTATCTTATTTACAGATGCAGACCATTCAAAAGTTTGGGGTCAGTACGATTTTTTTAATGTTTGTGAAAGAAGTCTCTTATGCTCACCAAGTCAATTTTATTTGATCAAAAAATAAATAAAAATATTGTGAAATATTATTACAATTTAAAATCATTGATTTATATTTGAATGAATTTTCAAATGTAATTTATTCTTTGATGGCAAAGCTGAATTACTCCAGTCTTCAGTGTCACATGATCGTTCAGAAATCATTCTGATTTGGTGCTTAAGAAACTGTGGTACATTTTTGCTAAATTTAACGTATACATACTGAATAAAAGTATTTTTTCCAAACTTTTGAACGGGAGTATCATTTATTTTAAAGACAAAATACCGACTTCCCTTTCGAAAGGGAACGAGACACTGCATCGATGACGCTATTGGGGAACGCCCTCCACATGAACCGGTGTCTGAAATACTATCCAATCACGGCAATCAAAATTGACCAGCGACAGCCTATGACGTCACTACTAGTGCGACCCGGAAGTATAAAAGGGGCGCCTAGAGAACATGTTATCGGTTTTCGTCTTCAGGGACTGTTTTGTCTGATTTGCAATCACCTGAAAATGGTAAGAACAATTATGGCAAGTGAAAAATAAGCGTTTCAAGAAATAGTGTGGATCCGTGTCTTAGATATTGACACAACTTGTGCGTTTACTGTTTGGGCTCAGAGCAAGCATGATCAGTTCTTGAGGGAACTGCTTGTGCCAACTGTGGGTTTTTTCCCTTGAGAAAACTTCACTCTTGTTGCCCTCTTCACGAGGGAAGAGGGACAGACATCTGTGCCAGGCGATTCAGGTCCCGCTCACATTGAGGCATAGCAGAGACTAGAATAGTTTGAGAGTTATTTTTTCTCTCATGCCTATCAGAGGCTCGCAAGTTTGAGCTGCCGGATGAGGATGTGTTGTCACTAACATCTTCTGATCTGGCAGCGAGTGCTCTGCTGGACAGCCCAAGAAAGCAGAAGATGGCTGATGAGGGTGAAGAGGATTTACAACCCGAACCCTCACAGCCACCCTGCCCCGCGTATGATGAGTTGTGAGTGTTATGAAACGCGCTCAGCGAGGCTTTGCTGCCGTAGGAGCGCGTGAGGGAAGAGACCGCTCGTGGCAGACTTTATGAATGGTTTCTTTCCAGCCATAAGGCTCCAGCTCCCGTGAGCCTTCCATTCCTGCCCGATCTACACAAAGTGATCGAAAAGGCATGGAAGAACCCGTGTTCAGCGCGCATCCATCGCCATCAGCGAGCAAAACTACGCTGATGTTGAGGGGATGCGCGAACACTGGTATGTGTCGATGCCTCAATTATTCTACACTAAGTGTTCTGGCCCTGCATTTTAAACAAATACTTACCTGGCAGGGGAGACACCATGATCAGGAAGGTGGTTCACCCAGGGCCACCTTGCTCTCCTCTCTCAGATTTTGTTCTGGTTTAGCATACAACAGGACAACATGTCGACCACTTTGGTGCGAAGGAATACAGCCAAATTCGAGTTACTGGAAGGACTGGAGATGGACCGACTGAACTTCAGCAGGAGAATTCTACAGACAGAACTCGGTTTCCAACCCTCGCAATTGGATTACATCTTTGCTTTTCCTGGTAGGAAAATCTTTGAAGTTGTTTTTACCACTTTCTCGTCCTATGAACTTTGTGTGAATAGATTTAATTCCAAGAAGAGTACAACCCCCTGTTTTCAGAAAATACTTTTGACTCCTTTATCCGAAAGAGATATCAGAACTGTGACTGTTTTGATACATTCTGAAAGGATTAAAATTGAAGACGTTACCACTTGGCTTTCTATGCACTGTACCATCTTAACCCCTTACTAGTCGGCCCCAATTTTGGCAAGTGAAGCATTCATGACATACCCAAAATAAAAAGGTTGCTGCTCTTAAGTCATTCTGAATAGACACATAACCAACATATATTTAGAAAGCCAACCCTTGAGAGTTTACATTTCAAGACTCAAAATTAATCAGACTGTTATTAATATTGAGATATATAAGCTCAAACATAAAAACAAAAACAACAAATATTAAGAACATATTTATTAAATGTATAAAAATATTATGTGAATTTAGGATAGCAACTTGAAACCACAACTAAAGTGTAGCCACAATTGTGGTCATGCTTCATTTAAAATCTGAGGATGATATTTCTAAAATTATGCATTTTATTAAGCCTATTGTGAAACCATGTCAGGAGAGAGTTTAGAGAAGTTTTATAGGATGCTAATATAAGATTCTCATCAAATATTTTATTGCCCTGTAAACACCCATTTACAGTCTCTGACTAATGTCTGGCGAGGAGAACTGGCCCATTCATGTTCTTTTCATTTAATCGACCAACCTTTCACACCTATGCCGGTATGAGACTTAATCTTCATTATTCTTTTATCCTTATTCTTTTGTTTGAATTCAGCCATTATAGCCTATATTGGCCATCTAAACCTCTCTGATTCCACCCTACATGATCAATCCATCTATTATATTAAGTCTTGTTAGAAAACAAACAATTCTTGGAACTTTAAATGCGAATTATTATTATTTTTAAATGATTGTATGAAATGGAATAGCTTCTGCAAGCAGGTGCATTAGCACAAGTAGCCTCGAGCTACATGACACAATTTAATGTATTAATATTACACTTTTATTCAAAGTTCACTTTAAAACAACATCTAGTATTTGTATCATATGCCGGTCGCGGATTAAAATGGTTTCAAGTCATGAAAAGATTTTGAAATATGTTATATTTAGCATTTCAGATGAAGCTATGGGCTAGCATTTCCTAGCATATGCATTCTGTAAACATTCTGTATTGATATGAAAACCCCAAATCGCACGAAAATCAAACACAAAACACATAATATTTCAATCGTGCATTTATTAGTTCCTTGTTTCGGGTGAAGAGATGTCAGTTTCGCTTTGTTATCACGGATGTCCAGTATGAGGAAGTGTACACATGACGCGTCATGCAGAAGAGGTCACGCTGGACCACGTGAGATGATTGACAGCTGTACAGCGAATGATATAGCTTTGAGGTCAAATGTGACGCGATTCAGGAAGAGAAGACACACATCTCGCTCCGTTCGCTGTCTGAGCTCTTTAGATCGCACATTTCAGTGGTAAATGAATAGAAATGTTATTCTTTATGAAGAAATATTTTACTAGCATGTGATAATTATTAATCATTTCTCCAAATATGCGCACCATTGGACTAATAGCCCTGGCGGATGCTGTATATTGTATGTATTTGAACACAAATAAACCGGAGAACACGAGAATTAATGTTTTATGAGTGATGATTTCTATTCAAAATAACGAACATTACAGATTAATTATTTTGCACTCCTGGCATAAATTAAGAAATTAATATCACTGCAAACCAGTTAAATCATAAACAGTGGTCAAACATCGAAGCTGTAGACTTCAACCTTTCTTATGATGCTGAGTTCGTCCAGATCAAGTAAGAGTGAGATGTTTTGACAAGTAATGAATTTTGAACAACACTAATCCGGGATCACCAGTGATCCCTGCCTATATACTTCGTTGATGAGAGATGAGGATGGGATAAAGACTGGAGCATCCAAATTCCAAGTACGTTTGAAGAAAGATGCAGAAGGTAATTATCATCACCTACCCGCATTAATCCAACTGGGCCCAATTAGGGGCTATGTTTTCTATAATGGACAACCTAAAGAATGTAGGAAATGTGGCTCCTTGAACCACATAGCAGCGAATTGTGAAGTAGAAATCTGTAGACA